GTTTCAACTCAGGCTCCTGGGGAGTCCCTCCCCCCCTGCCCCATTTTTTTTTTTTTTTTCCCCCCCCCCCCCCTTGCTCATCACAAAGAAAATTATCCCTTTTTTGTCTGTAATGTATTAACAATGGTACACTTGCTGGAGGGAGCTTAAATCCTTAAATTCCAGGATTATTTAGGCTGGAAGAGAAATCAGTTTGAGGGGGCTTAACTAAGGCATAGAAAACATGAAGAGCATAAGCGGAAACTTCACGGTTTTAACCTCTGATACAAAAGCAAGGATGTGAGTTCATATGAAATTAAAAGTTAGGTGCATCTGTTTGTAGTATATGAGTTTTAGTAGAGTTTTTAAGAACCACCAGGATGCCTTTGCACTAATCTATAAATGAGGAAGGAGGAGCAATGATCCCTGCCCTGAAAGTAAAACATGGTTTTGTGGCACATAATCTGTCAACCCAAGGAAGTTTGAAAGAGCCAAACACTTGGGCTGAAATTTGAGCAGACAACTGCGTCTCAGTTAGGAACACTTGATATTCTGTTAGTGAACTCATTTGTGTAGGTAAGTAGAACTGCTCTAGGGAGAGAAGCAAGTGATGTAGCAGGTGGAAAAATGGGAGGCTATAGCTCAACCTAGGGCATAGATTCGATTGGTTATTTTGTGGGATTAAGGGCCTTGCTGTTTTTCAAGTGAGTACCTCCTTCTGGCAACTACTAGATTTAAGATGCTAAACAAAAAGAGCTCATGTAGAAACAAAAGAGCTTTTTGTTATTACTAGTTTTCTTCCTTCCTATCCCACCACCCATTTGATCTTTTCAACTCAAATTTGCAAAGTATAACAGAAGTGGAAGGTGGCAAATTCAGCCCTGTATTTTCCTACTCCCAATTTTCCTTGCTGTAAATTTATCTCAGAGAAAAGATGACTTAGTTATGTCTGTTTTGGACATCTGCTAAATTGTCCGTGTAATATGACATTGTCCTGCTTCTCTTGGTCCAGACCCATTTGGTCATAAGCAGCACTTTGCGTGCCAATTCTAGCACAGGTTCTTTTGGCTACAAGTGCAGTAGAAGTTAGCTTATGGCCCTGGATAGCACAGTGTGAGAGAGGTTCCTGTGGTGGTTGCCTATGCTGCTCCCGCTCCATCAGTACATTAAAGCCTCTGGTGTCACTGGGTTGTTACTTCCTCCTAGTGGTGCTAAACCAGGTCCTTAGGAGGCAGGTTATTTCTCTCCTCCCTGTTCATAGAACCTTGGATGTGATACCTTCTCTTGAAAAATACTGGCAATTTGTTTAATCCACAGCAAAGTTAGGAAAGACTATTGTTTTTGGAGAGAAAGCATGCTGGCTCAGAGCCCTCTGTTAATGTGGTTTCCCAGGGACAGGGGACTTGTACTGGAGGGCTATACTTAAACCTCAAAGCATTTGGAGAAGAAGCTGAAGTGTAGGTAGAAATGACTAGAGCATATGTGCAGAGCCCTGTTTTGTCTGTTGAACCTAAAGATAGCTGCTGCGTTTCATTCCTCCTTTGGAGACTTGCGTGCTCTGAAAATTTTCCAAGTTGCCACTTTTGCTTGATCCATTTTTTAGCAGAGAGTCCTAGTCTTGGAAACTGGGTGGTGGTGGTGGGGGCAGCTCTAGTGGAAATTTAAATTAGCACCTCAAAACCTTGTGTTATATGTCTCTCTTGCCATTTAGCAGTAGATCCTCTGCATTTGCCTCCAACCCCTCCCAGCAGCCATGGCAGTGACTCTGAAGGAGGGCAGAGCCCGGCTAGATCGCTCCCTCCTTCAAGCCCAATCCAACTACAAGCCACGGCTAAAGTAACATCGCGCACAGCTTCAGCGCTCTCCAATTCCCCTCTCCTGACTGCACCACATGTAAGTTGGGATGGCTTTTTCCAGCATCTATCTATCTCTCTCTCTCTCTTAAAATTGCTGGTTTTGCCATGGATTTGCTAACTTTCTGTTGTTCTTTAGATGAACCCATTTCTGGTCAAAATTGCAGATCCAGTAATTCTTGCTCACTGGTCTGGTCTGTTCCCACAGAGAACAGCATGCGCCTCTCCTCTAAGCTGAGACAGGGTTCAACACTGTTATTAGGTTTCTCCCATCATGGATTGTGTTTCGCATTAGGGCCCAGCCCTGCTGGGTTAACCTGTCCCTGGTAGATCTGCATCTGTCCTCTTGTCTTGTCGAAAGCAAGTGGTGATCTTTAGGGACGGATTTTCAGTAGTGCTTCTTATTTGTCTCTTTCCTTGTTTGAGTGGGGG